ACATCATCCCAACAAGACTACCTTGATCCGTTTGTGACCGAGGTTTCCCCTCAGATGATGTTACATAACTGCATGTATGAATCTTACATTTGAAGGTCCTGCATTTATGAGTGTGTGAAACTGATAAAATACTAATCACGAGATTAGTTAGCAATGTTCATTGACAGTTCAGTTACTGGCTACAGTGATATTTCATTATTAAGTGCACCATAGACTTCTAACACCACATACAAATATTCAGCCATACTCCTGTCTTATCACAGCACCACAGTACAAGTGTCATTATAAAGGTTTCTATATAGACTCATAGGAACATATCTGAAAGTACTTGTTTGAATATATATGTGTATATATAAGGGTACATAAATACATACATACATAAATATGTATATAGTGTACATATAACATACACATCTATGTATATGTATGTTAGCATGCATGCATATATTCATATATGTGTGAGTGCGTGTATCTATGTATGTGTGCGTATAAATACGTATACACACATATAGATATATATGCATGTGTGTATGTATAATTACGCTTTCAAAATACACACATATATGTGTGTATATACGCACGTGCGTACACACATAGATATGGATATAGATACAGATACAGATATACATACACATATATAACACATACATACGTATATGTATGCATTTATGTGTGTGCGTGCGTGCGTGTGTGTGTGTGTGTGCACATGCATACATAGATGTGTATATATAGAGTATATGTGTGTGTATATTTGTGTTTATACACACAGGTATATGTATGTATGACTGCATACATATATATGCGTACATACAGCTTACGTATGCATATATGTATATATACTTATATATGTGTATACATGTATGAATGCATTTAGATACATACACGGATACATGTGTGCTCATTATTTCTTTGGGGTTCACCATCAGAATTTTAAACTTTGGCCAGCACTGATTGCCAAATACCTTCAGTTTATGTCCATACATATCCCTTATATATCCTCTGCAGCTCAAGATCACGAAGGAATTTCAGTAAAACAAAGACGGTTGCTATCATAGCTTGAGACACATTCCTTTTTTTCCATTTTTCATGTATGTAGTCGTCAGACGCTGTATTGGGACATTTGCCTCAATTATTATAGTTATGCAAACTAAGAAGGAATATGCGCTTTTGGGACACAAAACTCTCCTAAAATATAATGTATCGGGTGTAAAACTAGGAAAGATGAAGATTGCTGGTTTAATTTCTAGTATTTACAAAGACACGAGTTCAATAAATATCCTTAATTTTGTTTCTTAAGCATAGGAAGGAGTGGGAGGCTTGTAGGATGGCTGAGGAGGACCATAGGAGGCCTTTGGGCTGGGGTACTGAGCTTCTCCCTCGTAGGTGACATCTGCCACGTAACCGGAATCTCCGTTCACATTGTAGGTGACCCTCTGCAGACGACCGTCAGGAAGAAGGACGTAGTAGGATCCCTGCGTGTTGTCTCCATCACGGGCTTCCTGGTGTCCGAAGTCGTTGCCAGATGGTGGATCATTGACAGCGTAGTTGAAGTCGTACTTGGCAGGTGCGTAAGAGGGTGTTGGAGCAGAGTAGCCATATGTAGGTGGGCTATCAGGACGAGCGATAGCGACGACCACAAGGGCGGCCAGTGCAAATACCTGTAGTATATTTCGATCATTAGTATCATTATGAGGTGATTTATATATAAATATGTGTTTAGCGACATTCAGAAGCCAAGGAATGAAATATTAAACTTCTTGAATAATCTATATATAGGACATGCCTTGAATGACATGTTTGTGGAGTGAGACTGTGATGAAACTGAAGGCAAGTGTTTCCATTTATACCAAATTCCAGAAATAAAACTCCGCCCATTTGATGACGTCAAGAAACATCATCCCAACAAGACTACCTTGATCCGTTTGTGACCGAGGTTTCCCCTCAGATGATGTTACATAACTGCATGTATGAATCTTACATTTGAAGGTCATGCATTTATGAGTGTGTGAAACTGATAAAATACTAATCACGAGATTAGTTAGCAATGTCCATTGACAGTTCAGTTACTGGCTACAGTGATATTTCATTATTAAGTGCACCATAGACTTCTAACACCACATACAAATATTCAGCCATACTCCTGTCTTATCACAGCACCACAGTACAAGTGTCATTATAAAGGTTTCTATATAGACTCATAGGAACATATCTGAAAGTACTTGTTTGAATATATATGTGTATACATGTATGAATGCATTTAGATACATACACGGATACATGTGTGCTCATTATTTCTTTGGGGTTCACCATCAGAATTTTAAACTTTGGCCAGCACTGATTGCCAAATACCTTCAGTTTATGTCCATACATATCCCTTATATATCCTCTGCAGCTCAAGATCACGAAGGAATTTCAGTAAAACAAAGACGGTTGCTATCATAGCTTGAGACACATTCCTTTTTTTCCATTTTTCATGTATGTAGTCGTCAGACGCTGTATTGGGACATTTGCCTCAATTATTAGTTATGCAAACTAAGAAGGAATATGCTCCTAAAATATAATGTATCGGGTGTAAAACTAGGAAAGATGAAGATTGCTGGTTTAATTTCTAGTATTTACAAAGACACGAGTTCAATAAATATCCTTAATTTTGTTTCTTAAGCATAGGAAGGAGTGGGAGGCTTGTAGGATGGCTGAGGAGGACCATAGGAGGCCTTTGGGCTGGGGTACTGAGCTTCTCCCTCGTAGGTGACATCTGCCACGTAACCGGAATCTCCGTTCACATTGTAGGTGACCCTCTGCAGACGACCGTCAGGAAGAAGGACGTAGTAGGATCCCTGCGTGTTGTCTCCATCACGGGCTTCCTGGTGTCCGAAGTCGTTGCCAGATGGTGGATCATTGACAGCGTAGTTGAAGTCGTACTTGGCAGGTGCGTAAGAGGGTGTTGGAGCAGAGTAGCCATATGTAGGTGGGCTATCAGGACGAGCGATAGCGACGACCACAAGGGCGGCCAGTGCAAATACCTGTAGTATATTTCGATCATTAGTATCATTATGAGGTGATTTATATATAAATATGTGTTTAGCGACATTCAGAAGCCAAGGAATGAAATATTAAACTTCTTGAATAATCTATATATAGGACATGCCTTGAATGACATGTTTGTGGAGTGAGACTGTGATGAAACTGAAGAGGAAAGAGAACTCTTCCATTTATATAAGGCTAAGAAAAACCCCGCCCATGTAATGACGTCAGGGAATGCCACCCCAACAAGATAACCTTGATTTATATGATCTAGTTTCCCCTTCCAGTGGTTTTACGTACATTTGGCTTTGAACATTAAGGGTTAAACGTATTTATAGCGATTCATATTTTCAATGTAATAATAATGGTTATTAAAATGAACAACAATTTCAGAGACTTCGATTTTTTGAAGATAGTATTAGTAACTGACACAATGCTGCTAAAGTATTGTGAATATCATAGGTTTACATCAACTTCTGGAACGATGGTCTCCCCTCTTTGCCTCGAGTTCCTTAAATTTGTGACCACGAGCCCCGTGTACTGGCATTTAGAATTATCTCATGCTAATAAAGAATTCCCTTTAATTCAAAAGAGGGTGTCAGTCATTTATCCTGTGCCCCAGCAGTTAGAGGGGGTGTATTTGTAAAAAGGTTAAGAACTGCAGTATGGTTAAGCAACATTACAGACAATTAGACGGATATTAAGATTTAAAACTAATTACAAACGAATCACAATGGACTGACCACTTACATTCATATTTAACAAAGTATCTGAATACGCTAAACAGTAAACAGTGGCATTTATAAGAAAAGACGCATTATTAATGGAGTATTTTATGATTCAGCGTTGTAGCAAGTTTGAGAAAATACCAATATGCAAAGGGGAGGCTCTAGGTGACCCTCCCCTTTTTAACGTTACATATTTCAGGTAATAGCTTCGCTAGATGTGTGGGACACGGTAGGTAGATATTGATAAGTTGTTATAATACTGATGATGATTATGATCATGACACGATCCTCATAATAAGAGGAATAACATCAATGATAGATACTAAACTTCTAAGTGAAGAAAAATTAAGTTAACACTGCATTAGTGCATTGCAGCGAGAAACAGATATCGTCACTTATTCATTATGTTATATATATAACCACATGGTATGATATGGAACCCATTTCTGCTTCAAAACATATGATTTCTGCTTCAAACGTCTAAACAGGCATCTATAAGTGAAGTATGCTCGTATGCTTAATTCACTAGGTAAGCTGAATTATGGGCAATTAAATATTGACGAAACACAGATTACTACAATGTTTTGAAATAAGAAGTTATATGCTTAAAAAGCTCTTTTCTCCAGATATGTCGTGAAAATCGTCTCACTATAGCCACAAAATCAACTCAAACTTTAAAAGACAAATGATAATAACACTTGTTTTTCCGTATAATCTCTGCATTTGTAAATTATCAGACCCTATTTTGGTAGGGAACCACTGCTTCCATATTAAGAAGCGCGGCGCCATGCAAAGAGTCCATAGCATTCCACTAGGACAGGTCATGCTTTACTCTCTCTGTTTCTCTTATGTATATACATATACATATACATATGTGTGTATGCGTGAAAAAAAATCTCACTACATCCTAATACATATTACACCATTCATTCCGAATAAAGTTATGCCATCAAGACTACTTTAATGTAAAAGGAAGCTCTATGAATTTGTGCTTACGAAGCTCTTCATTAGTGAAAACAATCTAGTTTATATCCACCATAGCAAAAGATCACATAAAGATTCCCTTTTCATAACAAAATGCCGAAGACTGTATTTCAGTCAGCCGCCATCGATACACTAAAACATTTCTCTTAATAATTTGATTTTTCAAAATAAGCTAAGAAGGAATGCGTGCTTTTAATAGTCAAAACACTTTCTAAATTATAACTGAGACCATACAACGGAAATGAAACTATAAAAGATAAAGATTGCTATTTTAATATCTAGTATTTACAAAAACATGAGTTCGATAAATATCCTTAGTTCTGTTTTTTAAGCATAGGAAGGAGTGGGCGGCTTGTAGGATGGCTGAGGAGGACCATAGGAGGCCTTTGGGCTGGGGTACTGAGCTTCTCCCTCGTAGGTGACATCTGCCACGTAACCGGAATCTCCGTTCACATTGTAGGTGACCCTCTGCAGACGACCGTCAGGAAGAAGGACATAGTAGGATCCCTGTGTGTTGTCTCCATCACGGGCTTCCTCATGTCCGAAGTCGTTGCCTGATGCTGGATCACTGACAGCGTAGTTGAAGTCGTACTTAGCAGGTGCATAAGAGGGTGTTGGAGCAGAGTAGCCATATCTAGGCGGGCTATCTGGACGAGCGATGGCGACGACCACAAGGGCGGCCAGTGCAAATACCTGAAGTATATTTCAATCATTAGTATCGTTTATGAGGTGAAGAAATTGGTATGTGCAGTGACATTCAGAAATCAAGAAATTTACAATTAACTTCTTGAATACTAATATATAGTACATGCCTTATATGCCATGTTAGTGGAGAGAGACTATGATGAGACTGAAGGCGACATAGAGAGTACTACCATTTATACCAAATTTCAGAAATAAAACTCCGCCCATCTGATGACGTCGAGAAATATCATCCCAACAAGACTGCCTTGATCCGCATGTGTCCGAGTTTTCCACTCAGATGATGTTACGTAAGTGCATGTCTGAATTTTGCGTTTGAAGGTCATGCTTTACTCTCTCTGTTTCTCTTATGTATATACATATACATATGTGTGTATGCGTGAAAAAAATCTCACTACATCCTAATACATATTACACCATTCATTCCGAATAAAGTTATGCCATCAAGACTACTTTAATGTAAAAGGAAGCTCTATGAATTTGTGCTTACGAAGCTCTTCATTAGTGAAAACAATCTAGTTTATATCCACCATAGCAAAAGATCACATAAAGATTCCCTTTTCATAACAAAATGCCGAAGACTGTATTTCAGTCAGCCGCCATCGATACACTAAAACATTTCTCTTAATAATTTGATTTTTCAAAATAAGCTAAGAAGGAATGCGTGCTTTTAATAGTCAAAACACTTTCTAAATTATAACTGAGACCATACAACGGAAATGAAACTATAAAAGATAAAGATTGCTATTTTAATATCTAGTATTTACAAAAACATGAGTTCGATAAATATCCTTAGTTCTGTTTTTTAAGCATAGGAAGGAGTGGGCGGCTTGTAGGATGGCTGAGGAGGACCATAGGAGGCCTTTGGGCTGGGGGTACTGAGCTTCTCCCTCGTAGGTGACATCTGCCACGTAACCGGAATCTCCGTTCACATTGTAGGTGACCCTCTGCAGGCGACCGTCAGGAAGAAGGACATAGTAGGATCCCTGTGTGTTGTCTCCATCACGGGCTTCCTCATGTCCGAAATCGTTGCCTGATGCTGGATCATTGACAGCGTAGTTGAAGTCGTACTTGGCGGGTGCGTAAGAGGGTGTTGGAGCAGAGTAGCCATATCTAGGCGGGCTATCTGGACGAGCGATGGCAACGACCACAAGGGCGGCCAGTGCAAATACCTGAAGTATATTTCAATTATTAGTATCGTTTATGAGGTGAAATTGGTATGTGCAGTGACATTCAGAAATCAAGAAATTAACAATAAACTTCTTGAATACTAATATATAGTACATGCCTTATATGCCATGTTAGTGGAGAGAGACTATGATGGGACTGAAGGCGACATAGAGAGTACTACAATTTATACCAAATTTCAGAAATAAAACTCCGCCCATCTGATGACGTCAAGAAATATCATCCCAACAAGACTGCCTTGATCCGCATGTGTCTGAGTTTTCCACTCAGATGTTACATAAGTGCATGTCTGAATTTTGCGTTTGAAGGTCATGCTTTTATGAGCCTGCCAAACTAAGTACCAATCACGAGATTAAACATAGTTCAATTACTGGCTACATTGATCTTTCACTATCAAATGCACCACAGACTTCAAACTTCCCTTTTAATGTAGATATTCTACTGTACATCTGTGTTATCACAGCACCACAATACAGTTGTCGTTATAAAGGTTTCTATCTAGACTCCCATCAACATACTGATCATAGGAACAAATTAGAAAACACTTATTGTTTGAATATATATGCATATACACAGATACATGATACATATACACAGATACATGATACATATACACAGATACATGATACATATACACAGATACATGATACATATACACAGATACATGATACATATACACAGATACATGATACATATACACAGATACATGATACATATACACAGATACATGATACATATACACAGATACATGATACATATACACAGATACATGATACATATACACAGATACATGATACATATACACAGATACATGATACATATACACAGATACATGATACATATACACAGATACATGATACATATACACAGATACATGATACATATACACAGATACATGATACATATACACAGATACATGATACATATACACAGATACATGATACATATACACAGATACATGATACATATACACAGATACATGATACATATACACAGATACATGATACATATACACAGATACATGATACATATACACAGATACATGATACATATACACAGATACATGATACATATACACAGATACATGATACATATACACAGATACATGATACATATACACAGATACATGATACATATACACAGATACATGATACATATACACAGATACATGATACATATACACAGATACATGATACATATACACAGATACATGATACATATACACAGATACATGATACATATACACAGATACATGATACATATACACAGATACATGATACATATACACAGATACATGATACATATACACAGATACATGATACATATACACAGATACATGATACATATACACAGATACATGATACATATACACAGATACATGATACATATACACAGATACATGATACATATACACAGATACATGATACATATACACAGATACATGATACATATACACAGATACATGATACATATACACAGATACATGATACATATACACAGATACATGATACATATACACAGATACATGATACATATACACAGATACATGATACATATACACAGATACATGATACATATACACAGATACATGATACATATACACAGATACATGATACATATACACAGATACATGATACATATACACAGATACATGATACATATACACAGATACATGATACATATACACAGATACATGATACATATACACAGATACATGATACATATACACAGATACATGATACATATACACAGATACATGATACATATACACAGATACATGATACATATACACAGATACATGATACATATACACAGATACATGATACATATACACAGATACATGATACATATACACAGATACATGATACATATATACATACACAAAGCATGAATATATGCCTGTACTAGTGTATTTATATATATATATACATATATAAATGCATGTGTATAAATACGTATACAAACACAAATGTATGTGTTTGTGTATTATAAACTCACACTTACGCACACACGTATATATAAATAAAAATATATGTGTATAAGTGTGTGTATATACATGCATACTCACATATATATATATACATATATAAATATATATATATATATATATATATATATATATATATATATATATATATATATATATATATATATATATATATATATATATATATATATATATATATATATATATATATATATATATATATATATATATATATATATATATATATATATATATATATATATATATATATATATATATATATATATATATATATATATATATATATATATATATATATATGTATATGCATATATATATACATTCACGCGTGTGTGTGTGTATGTGTGTGTACATGCATGCATACATATATATGTATATATACAGTACATAAATATTATATATGTGTATATAAGTGTGTTTATACACATGTACAGACATGTATCCGCTTGTATATGACTATATATACGTGTACCTATGCATGTATACATATGTATACATGTGTGTGTATATCTACATATATGTGTGTATATGTTTGTGTATAAATTTATTTTTATGCATTCATACACAGATACATGATACATATACACAGATACATGATACATATATACATACACAAAGCATGAATATATGCCTGTACTAGTGTATTTATATATATATATACGCACAATTACAAGTGTGCATTGTTTCTTTGGTCAGCACTGATTGCATAATACCTTCAGTTTATGTCCATATATATCCTCTATACTTCCTCTGCAGAACAATATCAAGAGAGAAATTCAGTAAAACAAAGGCGGTGCTTGAAACACAGATTCCCTTTTCTGTAATTCACCGAGTCGTCAGATACTGTACTGGAACATTTACCTTAATGTAAGCTAAGAAAGAATATATTATCTTATCATTCCGATTTCTGGGACACAAAACCTTGCTAAAATATAATGTATAGGATAGAAAACTAGTAAAGGTGAAGATTGCTGGTTTAATTTCTAGTATTTACAAAAACACGAGTTCAATAAATATTCTTGGTACTCTTCCTTAAGCATAGGAAGGTGTAGGTGGCTTGTAAGAAGGCTGAGGAGGCCCGTAGGAGGCCTTTGGGGTAGGGTACTGAGCCTCTCCCTCGTAGGTGACATCAGCCACGTAACCGGAATCTCCGTTCACATTGTAGGTGACCCTCTGCAGACGACCGTCGGGAAGAAGGACGTAGTAGGATCCCTGTGTATTGTCTCCATCACGGGCTTCCTGGTGTCCGAAGTCGTTACCAGATGGCTGGTCATTGACAGCGTAGTTGAAGTCATACTTGGCGGGTGCGTACGAGGGTGTTGGAGCAGAGTAGCCATATGTAGGTGGGCTATCAGGACGAGCGATGGCGACGACCACAAGGGTGGCCAGTGCAGTTACCTGAAGTATATTTCAATCTTTAGTATCATTTATGAGTTTAATGGTTTATCTATATATATATATATATACATAAGTTTAGCGACATTCAGAAGCCAAGAAATGAAATGTGAAACTTCTTGAATAATGTATACATAGGACATGCCTTGAATGACATATTTGTGGAGTGAGACTGTGAAGAGACTGAAGAAGAAAGAGGGAATCCTTCCATTTATACAAAAGTCCAAAGAAAAACCCCGCCCATGTAATGACGTCAGGAGATACCATCCTAACAAGATAACCTTGATTCATGTGAACTAATTTCCCCTTCCAGTGAACATTAGGTTTTAGAGCCATTTAAAACGATTCATGTTTTTAATAATAAAATAATAGTTATTGAAATGAACAACTTTTGAGACTCCGACTTCTTGAAGAAATTTTGAATAATTGACACAATGGTGCTAAAGTATTGTGAACATCCTGGATTTATATCAACTTTTGGAACGATGGTCTCCCCTTTTTACCTAAAATTCCTTAAATTGGGGATCATGAACCCCTCATTTAGAATGATCTTACCCAGTGTTGTCAATATATCCGTTGCATATAAAGAATTCACTTTAATTCAAGAGAGGGTTTCAGTCCTTTATCCTATGCCCCAGCAGCTAGAGCGTATGTGTTAAAAGGTTATGAACCGCAGTAAGACTAAGCATCACTGCAGATTAAGATTAAGAATAAATTACAAACGAAGCACAATGGACTGACCACCTACATTCATATGTGATGTACAACAAAATATCCACAAACGTAGATACTTCATTGTAGCGAGTCAATATGCATATCTTACATTGCTTATATCTGGTAAAGGATTTACTTGTTTGGGTTAATTCACGTAGATTATTGTGATCAATAATAGCAACAATAATAATGATAGTGATGACAATGATAATAAGAGGAATAGCAATAACAACAATAATAGTAGATGCTGAACTTATATGTGAAAAAACGAACTTGACATTACATCAGTACACAACAATGAGTAACAGGTATCGCCATTTATTCAGAATTATTTCGTTGCGTTACTTGAGGCAAAGGTTATATGTTATGAAAAAATCCTCTTCGGGACGTCTTACTTAATAAACATATGTGTCTAAATCTATATCTGAAGAATGTACGTTCGATATAAAACAAATAACACCAACTGATGAAATAGATGAACTGTAATAAAGCGAAAGTGTGTGTTAAAATGCCAGTCCAAAATATATATTCTGAGCGTGTATAAATACATCGGATAACACAGTCATCGAGAGTAAGGTCATATTTAGCCAAACTGAGAAAATTCGACCAAATTCTATTCATCCACATATATACAGGCTTTTCTCATTGAATTCCTTATGATTTGGCACGATTCCTGCTGAAAATTATACAGGATAATAATTGACACAATTGTCCTAAAGTATTGTGGACATCCTGGATTTATATCAACTTTTGGAACGATGGTCTCCCCTCTTTACCTAGAATTCCTTAAATTGGTGATCATGAACCCCTCATTTAGAATTATCTTACCCAGTGTTGTCAATATATCCGTTGCATATAAAGAATTCACTTTAATTCAAGAGAGGGTTTCAGTCCTTTATCCTATGCCCCAGCAGCTAGAGCGTATGTGTTAAAAGGTTATGAACTGACTAAGCATCACTGCAGATTAAGATTAAGAACAAATTACAAACGAAGCACAATGGACTGACCACCTACATTCATATGTGATGTCCAACAAAATATCCACAAACGTAGATACTTCATTGTAGCGAGTCAATATGCATATCTTACATTGCTTATATCTGGTAAAGGATTCACTTGTCTGGGTTAATTCACGTAGATTATTGTGATCAATAATAGCAACAATAATAATGATAGTGATGACAATAATAATAAGA